GTGAACACACTTCCACCATGAAACGACTGTTAGAAGGCGCAGAGACACCTGGTACACGTCTGTGTCTTTTCGATACCCTCGTTTTACAAGTAGTGCGGCTGTTTATCACCCGTCAGAAGCTCTGATTTGGGTCCGCTATGGTAGGTAGAAGAAACTAGTAAAAGTTCCACACCAAGCTTACCAACACACGCACACACAGACCCCCTATCCACTTCAAGCTTCAACTAGTAACCCAGAGTCACAGCCTTAACCGTCCATGTCTTAATTCGGACGCTTTGGTGGGTCAAAATTTAACTCTCTTAATTCGTGATCCCGATTACGTGGAAGTTGTCAAGCCGTGTAAGTGTCGAGGGCACCTCACACGAACCAGGGGTGTGATCTAGTTTGGAAGAGCGTTAGGCCACTTTACGCTTCTGCTTCCGAGTTACTGTAGTGCCGAGGCTAACACTAATGCGAAGCACATCACCAAAGCTGCCAGTTCACTCGCATCCCAGTTAGGCGAAATCGTCGACCACAATCTACGATTGTCTACTTGTCTTCCTAGTGCCCAGTAAAGGCAGAAGTCTCCATCACTGCAAAAAAAACATGCTGAAACCCAATGGGAGGTGACGAATCCAAACGTCTTAGCTTGACACTCTTTTTGCATAATGCTCTGCTAAAGTTTTCGTGCAGTTGGAGGTGGGACGGTAAGTTAGGAAATCCCCCGTAAAAACTGATTGCCTCACATACCATTGCTGGTTCTTCATGGGCTCGCTTTTAAGTAGTGGGTGTGCTCACGATGACCATGCCTCCGGTTTATCCCTCAGGAGGTCTGCGCGTGGTCACAGATTGTGATTGCATGCGTGTGTGTCTGTTGTTTGAAGCATTAGTCAGCATTGCGACACCTTCAGCTCGTCATCCACGAGGCAAGCCCCAAATTGAGTGTCGTCATCGTGATAGTTGGCTACACCAGTTTTGGATAGGACAAGCCTATTCACGCGACACTATGTTGGAGACAAGTACTTCTAAACGAAGAGGCCGTGCCAAATTTCTGACAATATTATCTGCCAACTTTGGTCTGGATTTAGTCCCTTTGACAACCACATAGCAGGTGTCTACTTCATTGCTGAACAAGTGCCGTCTGCGCGCCAGAGCCGAGGCAAACACGAGCCCCGACTTTAACAAAGGCCTCGTGTGATTCACCCTGGGCTGCGGGGGGGGAGGGGAATTGGGTGTGCACGAGGTTTTGCCAAATCGGTAATAATAATCCGCATAATTGACTTCTCGGCTGCGTACCTGATAATCAAATTACCGCGGACACTTTGTTCCGTCCTTTGAACCTCCAAGTTGTTGAGGCGGAAAACTGAAGTAGGACACTGAATCCCGTCGTCTTCTTTCTCTAAGTGTTCCACAGTGGACATGAGTAACGTGGAGATCTACACCCTTAACCAAACAAACGAAGTGGTTTCCCAGGGAATTACTGGGGGAAGGGGGCTGGCAGGGTGATGCGTTGGTATTTTGCTCGCTGCGAATCAGTGTGACTTCTCCTGTCATAACTCTGTGTGTGTTTGCCTCGAGCAAATAAAGAAATGCGACCGGCGTTGACAGGCGAAGCTTTAAACAAACAGCAGCCTAATTGACTTTGCCCCTGTTAAAACACTAACAAGTGCTATTAGAGGAGAACTAGGGGAGAGGAGGGGAGGGAGGGAGGGAGAGGATATCGCATGACCCTTCTGGGACATGCTGTCGCTCCGGCATCTAAAACTGACACATTTTATTCCAGTGCTAACTGGAACAAGTGACTGGACAGTTCCCGGGCTACGAGGAATTGGGGGAGAGAGGGTTGCACAAAAACGTTTTTATTTACCTTAAATGCCAATCAACTGAAAAGTCTCCTACCTACCAATGTGTACCAAGCAAACTCACTGGTATCAAGTTATTGCGTTTTGATACGACTAGACTAAGCGAATAAGTCGCCTGATAATTCTGACCATGGGGTTGACACCTGGCACGAGTTTAGGAATCGATGAAATACATTACTTTCGGGTGTACTCCAATTTGCGCTTCCACTCATTAATTGGTGCGGCCTTGAGGGTTTCATGTATTCAGTGTTTACAGGTGATGATCTTAATGATAATTCGTTAAATTCAGACCACCCAAGTGCGCGAGTGAATATCGACCGTCAGTTGTAATTAACGATCGATGACGTTCGATCAGCCTGTGAATAAGCTTCACTCACACGCGTTGGCGGACGGTTCACGACAGGCGCATAGGTCTCAGAACTAGGCTATCACACTATCCTCCTTCAACCGAGATCACACTAGACCTACACAAAGTGATCTACCTGGTATCTGTTCACATGCACCTACTCGATAATCCCTCTTATTTGCATCAATCACAACGATTTCTAAAAAATCCCGAAAGCCATTTTCGGTCAATTTACAGTTGATTTTGCATATAGCTAGTTTCGGGTTAGGTTGTATCCCGAGTCTGTTTGAGGCCTAATCCAATCACCTACCTCCGTACCCTTCTTGGAACTAATTGTTTGCATTTTATTTGTTGATTAATGTAGTGTTTGCTCACTCCATAAACGTGAGTACAAATAATGATCTTGTAAGCAAACTAGCTAATATAAAATCCAAGAAAGTTTGGGTCACAGAACCCATTGTCAAAGTGGCACTAAGGCACGAGGTCGGAGGCTCGTGGAAGACGACCGAGGTCAGCGTAAGAGGTATCCCCTGCTGAAACCCCTGGGTGTCATTGCGACACTTAACTATGCCACCCCCATTACGTCACACCCGGTCGATATCGCTCATTTACCTGGGTCGCCACGTTCGGTCTGATGAAAGGCTCGAGGTGCCGCCTTAGTTACTATCCCTAAGCAAATAATCAGATCTCTGTTCAACCCCCATCAACCCTCCTCCCCCGCGCAGTGAGAACGTGACTGTTTGTTTGCTTTTCCAAACGTGAGTCTAACCCCCTTCCACACACCACCTCGACCACGAGAGGCGGTAACTGGCCGTGGGGTCGATACATCCAGTCTCAGTGATCCCGACTCCGACCTAAGCCGTCTTCTTCTGTGTGTACTGTGATCGGAGAAAGGCACAATATGGGGCAGCAAGTCGACCGCCACCAAAATATGCTCGAGTTGAATTTCATTATCACCACTTCGTTGAAACGCGCCGACCAAGAAATAAGATGATTAGAGCTCAGTAGATTTACTGCCACTGTAAGGATGTGGTTGTTACGACTGCAACTAGCGCGACAAGGTGTTAGTTCAAATCAGACTGTTTGTTATCGATCCGTGAACGACCATCGCGACGTGAAGTGCACGCAAGATGATCGATGGAATTCGTGTTCGCGCACGCCACACCGCTGCTTGCTTGCCACGACGCGCTTCAGTTTGAACTGCGATCGCAGTTAAGAGGTAAAACCAATGTGGAAGAGCGACACAGCATGGTTGGGGTTCATTCTTCGATGTTGCCTAGGTAACCGAAGAAAGATTAAGTAGAGATACTGTTTGTACTGATCAACAAGCAAGTCCTCACACACCCTTAAGCACCACTCAAGTGTATTTTTCAGCGGTTCATTCTGGAAGGGTCAATTTGTGCTTCGTTTCTTGCAAAACTAGATTTTGGTCAAGAGGTAACCTAATTTCGCGAGTCACGTGATGCTTTGGATGAATTGTCTTTTGGACAGCGCTTCCTTAATGTAGAAAACTCTATCTTGAAATGAAAGTACTCGGTTGGGACATTAGGTGGTAGGTCTTTATCAAGCTTCATATTGATTAGTTGATGTCGCCTATACAAAATCAATACTTTTAGGCGCGTAGGGGCGTTGCTTCATTCCCCCACATCAAACTCCAAGGTGTCCACTGTTGCTGTGTGCACTTGGTGATTAGCTCAGTGTCAAAAAAAAGTGGAAAATTTGTCTGTTACATATTAATGAGACAGCATGTAAATTACTACTACTGACAATTATTAGTAGTTCAATCCATCCCAGAATTGATAAATGATGAATCCCAGCACTATTACCAGCAAAAACACATTGCAGTAATTTTTCATTCCCCGCTTTGGGCTTTGAAAGTCGTGTTTGAGGTTTAGTTTTGGAAACCACTGCTTTAATTAGACCCCCTTCTCCTTCTCGGTCCAGAATTTGACCAGAATAACGTTGAAATTCGAGGCGATATTTGCCCCACCCTGGACTTGAAGACGACTGTGACAATCTCTTAGATTTAATCAATAATTGATTTAAACTTATCGCGCACCATTCAAGACACTTGTGCGAAAAAATCAATGGGGCTGTAGCCAATTACAGAGGTTGTCTGATTATGGCAAAGGTCAATTCATGGAGAAGGTGTAAGATGCCATCGTGGTGACTATGGCAGCACTGATGGGTCGGAGGAAGCATAAATTTTCGTAAAAAACACTCCCTCAAGAGGTCTACTCAGCCTACGCTAAGAAAAAATCCATGAATTCATGCGATATTCGTTGAATTTGTTTAAATTACCTCGTGATTCTATGTAGCAGGAAGTTGTCAATTTGAATGCCAACACGTGTCTATCAATCTGCATGCTACTAGTTGAATTAGAGTAAACTGATGTTTCATGACTTCTATGTTCATGATAATGCATTAAATATGAAAAAAAGCACATTAAAAAAAATACAAAAGTCAAATTCTTGCACTCACCACAAGGTCGCCATTGTTGTTACCGTCTCGCCATACTAACTTTCGTTTGAATTCTATCCTCCTATTGGTCAGTATTACTTCAAGTTACGGATGACACCAAAATCTGATCCAGGTTACTGATACAGGCGCATGACGCGTGCATGTCGAAGTCCATTGGCTACAGCCCCATGACCCCGAGTGAGCAGCCAATTGCGTGCTAGACGCGCTTGTGTGGCGTGCGCCCAATAGCGCGTGCGTGCGTGTGTGCGTGCATGCGCGTGCACTCACGCCCAGGCGCATACGGCTGACCATTTCCACCTTCCTCCGTTCCTCTCTAGCGCAGACCGAAGTTGATGTCTTTCCTGTCAGTCCTCATTGTCCTCGCCTGCTTCCGATGTCCGTCTCCCCATGGCTGGCGCATCCCCGCAACCGAGGTGAGGTACAAGCTGGCCGAAAATAGCCCGCCCGGACACTTTCTGGGCGCTGTCGCCGGTTCCTCGCCCCAAAAAGGTGTCACCAACTCCTTCGGTGCACCCTCGCAGCTCTTCCAACTGGACCCACTCACCAGCGAGCTCTACCTCAAATCGGAAATCGATGCTGAAAAGCTGTGCGCATTGGCCACGCGGCGAGAAGACGAGAAGGGTGGTAAGTCACACCGTTTTATTGGCCTCGTTAACACCACCATGCGCCATTGCTGTTTAGTTGTTTTAAACAAGTGGATTGTAATTTAAATTTGGCGCTAGACCACGAGAGTCTGGCTCTTAAACTTGTGGTAAAGACACTAATTCACGTTGCACTTTCCACGAGCAAATTATTTTAATTCATGCCGATTTTGCAATGCCCGGTCACATTCGCGATTTCTGTCCAGTCAACTGTCAAAGTGATCCGTTGTGTCATTTTAAGCCTCATTAGTGGAAACTATTGGATAGTTATACAACCACCACACCTATCGTGCGAAGGAGCCTGTTCGATTTGGGAATTCCCGTCTCCACTGAAACGTTTTAGTCTACACGGTGAGGTGAAACCGCTTTTCTGAAACACGGGACGACTTGAGAATCACCTGGTCAGTTGTGTGATCCACAAGGCGAAAAATCCTGACTTCGAGTGTACCTGACGCTGGATTCGTTGTGTTCGAATCTTGACCAGGGCGTTAATCCCCTCTGCATTAACTCGATTCCGATGGAACATTTTTGTTCCAAACTCCCCCAAACAGAACTCTTTTGGCTACATTTTAGTCACTTTCACAACAGTAAAACTGTAACTCGTTCCGTTTGTAAGGCTAATTGTCCACCCACGCTGCCAAGCGTTGTTCATTAGCGTTTTGAATGCATCGGAGCAGATCCAGGCTCGAGTCCCAGCCATTGCCTCTTCCGCCTTGGATTATCGCTTCCCAACTAGGCTTGCATAGCTAGAACATGTTCACGGATCAGACACCTCCTTGATTCCGTGACTGCGCACGAGGGACGCTAACGAAAACAGCATCAATTTGTACTCTGTGACTTGTGTCGCACTGTGCAATTTAATGTCCCCATGTCCCCACCCTGTGAGTGGCCAGAGGTGCGGAGGAGGAGGAGGAGGTGGCAGCTGAATCGACGTACGCAGTTTAGATAGCCAGGCGATAGGGCTTCAAGTGGATGGCCGGAGAGCGGGCAAATGCCCTGCCACCCCCATCCCTACAAACCAGCCTCGTCCGTCTCTAGCACTGCAGCTGCCTTCAGGGGTTGACCAACCTCGGAGTGGTTAACTTTGCTGGTGAATTTTGTTGTCAGTAGCTCTTGACCAATGAGATAAAAATGTCGCATCATCATCTTCATCACTCAAGACATGCACCAGATTGAAACGCGGCCTTTGTGCTTTTCTACCAGCCTCCAAGTTCACGGCATTTCATTGATGCTTCAAGAGAGTCTCAATGTGGACACCCCTTTATTGTTTGTTTTCATGGCTTAACGGAAACTTTCCGATTCCTCAAGACACAGCGTCCACTCCCCCAGAACCCTTGACGAGGCCACTAATTAATGAGTCGCACACTTGTCCCCCTCCTGGTGGTGTTAACCCCTCTCCTCCAGAGGTTTCTGGTAATGGGCAAAAAAGCTACACCGCGTGGTTGGTGTGAATGCTGTAATTATCGCACTGGACAACGTATCAGGCGTGGTTCTTTTAAAAAAATGACTCGTCTAGCGCAGGGTAGGGGAGAAGCGACGCGTGAGCCCGCCTTGCCCCTGTAATTAGCTGTCCCAACAACGACCAAAACCACCCCCACACCCATCGGCCACGTGTAAGTGGGACTATGTTGATCCATGAGTGCATTCAGTCAGTGTGCAACATCCCCTGATGGCAAAAAAGAGCAGCCAATGGCACTTCACGACGCGATGTTCCGAAATGTCTCCAGCCCTGCCAGACACGCTAAGTGTATCGTTACAGATGAGGCGATGGGGCGCTGTACAGGTGACTTGGCGGCTCATTGGATGTTGAACAAAAGGGTGTTGATGCCGGGGGGGGGGAGGTGTGTGCGTACACACAAATACTTTGTCTTTTGAGAACTCTGCATGCGTCAACTGAGTACCCTTTGTGAACATTGCCGCCGCGACTACTACAAACGTGGGCATAAAATTGTCCCGAGTGTTAACTGCGACATCAACAAAACCATCTGACCGCTGGTTTAGCGTTGGATGGCATTCCGCAAACGGGGCCAAGGAGAACGAAGCAATCGATAAGCTATGCTGGGTCCCCACATCGTCGTGCCGTCTGCTTTTCACAGACCCAATTACTCTCCTCTGTTTCAGGCCCTGTGGTGACTTTATAAAAGCAATCTACTGTTCTTCCCTTTTAATTTCCATGGCTCTAAAAAGGATACGCCCAAATTAAAAGCCGTTGCCTAGGCAACGAAGAGGCAGGCTCGACGCACATGCAAACAGAAGGCAGTTTATAATTTACGTGAATCACCGCTGAATTAGGAGTGCGTATTAATTGCTTCTGCTGGTCCATGCATGCGCGACAGACAGCCTGGACTCCCTTACTTTGTTAATCTTACAGTAAACGTGGGCAATCTTCAGAAAATAGGTGATAATATGGTGCTGGCAACTTTCTCTTCTGAGGGGTCGTGGTTTCCTACGGAGTCGGAGGGGAAATCTGCACTCAATAAGTGTAGTTGCAACAAAAGACGCCATGTCGGTAGTCATCGGCCGCCTATCGATCGCAGGTCGTCTCGCTGAGCCAATCAGATGAGTGAGTGAGCGGATTCGCGCTACACGGAGGGGTGTGTGTGTGTGTGGCGTGTAAGCATGGCCGACAGTTGCGTGTGCGAACCGTTAATGTGTCTCGGGTGCAGGCGTGGTTGTGTAAAAATCGCTTGTGCGCGCACACACATGACACGGAGACATTAAAGTGTGCGTGCGTGCGTGCGTGACTGTGTGTGTGGCTACGGTCAGACAGCCATTGGCTGAACACTCCACTGTCCCCTTGGGCAGACAACACGTCCAGACACGATAGTGAGACCCAGTGTTCGCGGGCTTCTTGAGAACTTGCGGTACTTTGCCAAGTTGCCCCCTTCGAGAAAAGCGAAAACTTAACTAATTCGGGCAATTTTTAAGTCTCAAAATTACGCAAGAAATTCCTCAGGAAAACGCTTGCACTTTAACCACTACATCGCCATTTGTAGGACTTAATTTTTGCAGATTCTTCAGAAAATTTCTTTAGTATAAACAAATAGAGAACTGCGTACGAATGCCGTTGCGAAAGAAACTTGCAGGCTTCGAGGCGATCAAGTCATCATCGACGAATTTACGCACATCGTCCGGCGTCTTGAAATGTTTATTCACAAAGTCTGGTGAATTTGCTTTCTATCCCAAGTTCAAGAGGTTTTTTTGAGTCGCTTGAGCAACGTGATGTCGAGCGTTGTCACGTAGCAGCAGTATGACTTGCATGCTTTCTTGCCAAGTAAATGGCCTTTTGGATCAGTTTTTTCGACTGCTGACTGTAGCGTTCCGCAATCGCCGTCAGACCAGTTTCATGTGCCACCAGATTCACAGAAGAGCCTTCTTCAAGTGGGTGTCCCCTTTCGACATCGATGTATTGGGTTGTCTGGAATATAACCAAGATATTTACATTCGGGATTCGCGTAAGATATACTCTTCATCATTCGTCGCAATGTTTCACAAGCAGTCCACTCACCGCCTGTTGCCGGTGGGCAAGCAGCGAAGGGCATGTATTCACACATTAACCCAGCTTGTGTTCGGTTAGCACACGTGGGACCCAACTTCCACGTTTTTAAATTCTTCCCATTTGGTTCCAACGCTCGGAAATAGCAGTTTTGGTGACCCCTAACTGTGCTGCAAGCTCTAGTTGCGTTTAGTTCTCATCCAGTAGGGCTTGCAATGCCTCACCTTCAAACCTTCGAGGCTGTCAGAGGCGCAGCTGGTCACTGGGATTGAAATCACCACTTTTAGAACGCTTGTACCGATAATTACACGTTTCATAAGACACAACGTCGGCACCAAGAACGCTACAAATTGATTCCCATGGTGATTTAGCAGCATTTCGTCCTTGTTGGAATTCGTGTAAAACGCAGTCCAATCGGATGTGCTGGTTACCTGTTGTCATCGTCGAACATCCACGTAGACTTGTCGTTCGGTGTTCTGAGACCTTACGTTGGATCCTTTTTTAACCACACAGGACAGCGATAAGTTTTCTGTTTTAAATATAATTATTGGGCTCGAAGAACACATTTGTACAAATTAAGCCATACACTCAATATAATTCAAGTAGACGGGCACTTTAAATGACACCAGATCTCCATCCCGGCTTGCATGATCGACAAGTTAATATTTACGTTCGGCTCAAGCGCGATTCCATTAAGTTCATTCTCCGAGTGAAGAATTGTCTAGGCCCAACTACGGATGGTTCTTAAACTCGTTTTTGCCGTATTCGTGGTACTTTTAAGGCCGTCACTAGATGAGAGGGTCCCAGCCACTGCCAACTCCCTTGTTGTGGCAATCCAGTGACAAAGTTCGTTTCAATTGGCAAAAAATTTCCTCTTTTCAAGCCAGTAAACATCACCTTCTGTGGTCAGCATTGTCATTTGACAATTCTACCCACCTTTGTTACATTCTCGCATCCATTCAAGTTAGTGGTGAGGTGGGCATTCACGTTGCCTTGAGACGGGCGAATGCTGTTTACCCAGTAGATTGAATCAATTAGATGGAGGGAGGTAATGTGGGCGTTTTGAGGCTTGACGCTAAACGAGACGCATTTTCCCGAGCTCTGCTCTTGGTCGGATAACTGGTGTTCTTGTTTTTTAAAAGCTGAATTGTTGCAACTGGACTTGCATGCGAATTCTGCAGCCCACACTATTCACCCCGAGGTCCGTGTAATGCGGTTGGGCTGGGCCAGTCGTTGATGCGGACTACTGGAGTGGGGAGTCGATACATGCCCCCATTACCCGTCACCATTGTGAGCCGCGAAGAGGGGGAGGGAGGGACGAAACAGCCAGCAAAGTGGTTTTTCCACTCAGCTAAATAGGCGTTTCCCTTGGTGTCCTAAACGCGAAGCAGTAATTGACAAGTAGAGAATGGCAGAAAAGGGTAAATAGCAAAAGAAAAAAGTTTTTTTGCAATTTCATTCGTTACAGAGGAGCGACTAAAAGTCATGCCAGTGTGCCTTCAGCTTCTAGTTATTCCCACGTGTGGGGCATCGCCTCCACAGAGTGTAATCTGCTTCTTTTGGAGCTTCAGGTACTGACCACAATGGGGCGTTTTTGTGAACTCGTACGTCTAGCAACACAATGTACAATTTAGCCACCTGACTTGGGGGAATTTAGAGGTGTTTTGAAGGGACCACAACTCACAGTGACTCAGATGTCTTGGTGACTGCCGGTGTGGCAGTCTGGTGTGTGGGAGGGTTTGCTGTAACTTGCTTTGCCCAACCAATAGCTCAGCCGAGTTTACGAACTAGCGCTCAGCCAATCCTAAGTTGAGTATGGTGTATCTGTGATGCCAGGTCCGAACGGGGGTTTAACCGACGTCGTTACCTGCACGCCATCAACGGGTGAGCTTTCAGTGCAACTGGACGTGAACTCACTCCTTCCAGACGGCAGTCTTCAGGCCGTCTTCAGGGTCACCGTGGAGATTCTTGACGTGGACGACAACCCACCGCGGTTCGATCACCAGACGGTCTGGAGTCGCCACCTCAAGGAAGCTCTCTACCGCAAGGGCCGGAAAATCGACCTACCCAAAGCGAGAGACATCGACCTCCTGCCCCAACACCGCAACATCCAATACATCCTCGAGCAGAACCCACCGTCAGCTGAAGGCGTTTTTCACTTCGAAGTCAGCGAGAGGTGAGTCGAAGTTGTGGATGGTGGTGATTAAGAGTCTCAAAACAATGTCAGATATCGATCCACTATGCACGCAAGGTTGTGGGTTTGTCCGGTAATCACTTTGCTCTTGAGATTACGGGTGGATATCGAATGCAAAAGCAGAACGACTTTGGTGATGTGTGCTTAGCAATCTCGGGGCGCTGTAGCGCCAAGAATTTGATTGGTTCAACCTTAACCGGAAAATGTTTGATAACGATTGATCGATGGTTTTGTTGAGGCCCCTGTGCGGTTTGCGAAGCACACCAGGGCCAACGATCTGCGCTGACACGGCCCGATACAGATAGTACGCATCTGAACTAATTTATTGATAAGTTATTGATTAATACCAACCCCTGAACGAACGCAGCCACATGGAGTGCATTCACGGAAATCGATTGAATTGTGTTCGCTCGCACTGGCTGACTGTGCTCGCTAGAAGACGGACTGGCGACAAAGTTGGTTTGCTCGACTCACGACGAGGTGATGCCGAAGCAGCAAGGCTTCCGAGTTTAGTCGCGCGTTTCGTTCACAAAGCAATCTCACTGGTAGCCGCAGCTTGCTTTTATGATGTCTGATGTTTGACAGCACAGAGTCAATTCAAGGGAATTCGGAGTTTTGGTTTTAAGAACCACCACACTTAATAGCCTTTTGCTTCAATGCAAAACGTCAAGAGCTCTCCAGGCCTTGTTGAATCGCAGACGGGTGTGCGTTGGTGGATGCGCAGTGACTTGACAAGAAAGCGATTCTGGTTGTCACAGCTAACGCTGCTCACATCCTTGCAATTCTGTCCAGTCGCTTTAGAGCCAGCGTTAGCGTGGAGTGCAAAGCCATCACCCTTGCCACACTTTATGTTTCTTATTTCACTCAAGGTAATGTGACGTCGAGCGAGGTGATTGGTCAACGGAACAGTGCACCTGCCTGAGTGGGTTCGGACATTCCTAACCCGTAGTGTTGACCACCAATCTAGTCCACCAGCTACGGTGACTAGAGCAAAACTCTAACTTAATCGGATGGTCACACAATTGTGCGTTGGAGATCGGAGAGTGGCTGCGTGCTGGGTTATTGCAGAAGTTCATGACCGATTTGAAACCCAAGCAAAATGGTAAATGGCATACTTTAGTCGTTGACGTACATATCAATCGTTTCCTCCAACTGACCCCCAGGATCCTGCATGGTTTGGAAATCCTTCTTTGTCGAAACTGTGTGATTTCTCTTCAATGGAAGTCGGTAGCATTTTCTTGACCTCCCTCATACCACCATTTTACAGAGGATGAAATAGATAAAATCTGAAGGTGCAAAGTCAATGGAATCCAGCAGGTGCCGCTGGAAGATTTTCCTAATACGCATTACAGAGTCTGTTGAGCGACATGAGGTCTAGCGTTGCCATGTTAAAAGAGTCTAAATTGGACCACAATCGATTTGATTGGTAGTGCATTTTTTCAATTAAAAATAAGTTGTAAACGACCGTGGGCAAAGCATGATGAACCAGCACATCGACTGTCATTGAACAGACCATACTCTTTATTTGGTGAGGTTACAACTATGGAGTGTATTTTAAACTGCTTGCAATAGAACAAAAGGAGGCAGTGAAAACAAGCTTTACTGTGACGATGCAGGGCTCCACACACCTGTTTGTTTAACTCGTATAAAATCAATAAAGCTTTTTTTGAAGGTAATGCTGTGCCGTCAGATTAGTGAAATGTCATCTATCATGATTCGCCATGTTGTAGGGGCACACCGACACTCGTTCTGCTGAAAGACCTCGATGCCGAGACCCAGGAGTTCTTCAATATGACGGTGGTTGCCTTCAATCCACCTCGAAGTTCTCACGGGAAGTACACACCAACCAGGGCTTCGACGGACCTCGAGTCGAGACTGAGGGTGGAAATCTACGTCGTGGACACGAACGACAATGAGCCGTACTTCGAGAAGACTAGCTACAACGTCACGGTGCCCGAGAACACCCTCCCTGGAACAACCATCTTCCACGTGAGTAGCACATTAACGTTGTGTTCTTGCGTCATGCTACTTCATAGTTAAGCTAGAAGGCTTTTGCTTGAAAAAACTAGGAGTATTTGCACATTGTCATAATTCTTTGTTTAGTTACAAAGGAACTGTGGCTTTCCTAACATCGGTTTTTGATCTGGTTCAAAATAATCGACTTCAAAACCAATTATTTTCCTAAGTTGGCGTAACTGTCCCTCTCTGTAAGTCGGCACCGCCTGCACGTTAGGCGTAAAGAATCCGACGGCGGAAGCCTCTAACCCTGTAGCTCAGAGTTTGCGACGTATTCTGATTGGCGGCACTTTCCGTTGAAATGATCGATCGACGCGGTGGGGGAATCGTGTAGCCAATCAAAGGACAGCATGAGTAATACGGATAGGCGGGTCTGGTTTACACGGCGGGGGAGGGGAATTTTACGACATGGACGGAGTGGGAATCTAATACTAACAACACTTGCTAGTTAAAATACCAGCTTCCAGCTTTTATTTGCCGCTGGAAAGCCGAATTGAAAGCAGAATTTCGAGAACCTGACGTCCTTACATCTCAGCACAGTTTCTTGTGACCGTGGTAGGCGGTCTTAAAAGTGCGAGCCTGGCACTTAGGCAATTGACACCTAGTGTTTCAGCACATGTCAAATAACACGAACTGGGAACAAGTTTGTCGCCCGTTTTTCGTTAAATTTCAAGTGAAATTTACTGTTTTTTGCGATAACCGTAGTTAGACTGTTGCGGACACGTCGCGCTTTTCGTCTATTTTAAACTTACGTTACTCCTGCGTTGACTTTTAGCTCCCATTAACGTCACAAAAGAGCACTACTGACCATTCAAGACACCCACTTGTGTATCAATAAATGCCTGTGCCGGGCCTGGCTAACCCCAACAGATAAACACCCCTCTGTTGTACAAATAAACAAGTTGGGGTTCGCAGTTCTTGTGAGGCGTAAACAAGACCTGCTCCACGGATCCTGTGCAAACCGCTAAGTGTGATCCGAAATTCACGGATGAAATTAACAAGTCAGACACCTAATTCAGTAAACTTTTAAACCGCAAAAAGCAACCCCAAATTCTCAAGACCAAACGTGCCAAGCAGCGTATGAGAAAATCGAAGTGATATTGTCAAACTATTATCGTAACTTAATCATGTGCTAATCCTTAAAAAAAATTGATTAAATTTGAGTAAACAGAAGCCCCTGTGTGGTTCCTAACTCGACCGTAGATACCACTCCACCAGGAAAGAATAGGAAGGCCGTGGACAGCGGGGGGGGGTTAGCCTGACAAGACGTCAGTTTAAAGTGAAACGCTTGACATCCAATCTCTGAGCGAACGTAGCTGCGTGAATTTTTATTCAAGATTATCGATCGGATTAACATTGGCTCATGTCAAGTCAGCGCATTTGTGAATACAGCTCACATGCACAATCCCTCCATTCCTGTCCTTGATTTATCGAGACCAAACAGGGAGTGTTCGTTGAAGTTCAGCGGAAAGGCACACGAGGTCTCTCGGCTAGCGTCGGAAAGCAGTCTCTGACTTGGTTTCGAACACCTATTCTGTAAGACTACGAAATATAGATTTTCAAATGAATTGGGTCCGGTAGTTGTAAAACCCTGATTCGACGGTCTGAATAATTCATAAGGATAAGCACTGACGCTGATTTAAACCTCTTTGAAATGAGGCACTGACTTCGCAGTGTTGATAAACCTGGAGCCGTGAAACCAACCATTCCACAACCTGAGAAGTGATGGCACATTATGCTCCACTGTGTCTATATTCATCGCCTTGAATTAGCACCTTTAAAATGGAACCGTTGTCGATCTTCGCTATTTCCTTATCAAGCATCATTTGCGATAACCAAGGTACTAGATTTTGGTTAAATCTGCTCTCTGTTTCTAACTTATTCCTGTAAAATCGTACATAGTATTATATAATCTGAACTAGATCCTCCGTTGTTCGATATAAAACCACATAAAAACATTGTGGGTAATTAGAATCCGCAAAAACTTCTCCATTAGAAGACTACCTACGTTCTCAGTCATACAAAGAGCCCAGTATGAAATTGTTATATTATCGATCGCAGCCTCGACCATTCCCTATGCACGAGAGGGTGCCAATTTGCACATTTCTGAATGCTAGACCACGCTGTGCCTCTGACTGGCGTTCTAAGCACAACTCTGCCTGTGAAAGGAGCTTGAGGTGACGCTAGCTAGCTGAATCTTAAAAAGGAGGTACACAGAAGAGATATAGATGACGCGCGGCTCAACTAACTTATTGATGCGGTAATAGCGTGGTTGCACAGGGTAAAAAGGCCTCAGTTTACATGGGGTCGATCAATATCGATTTCTGAAAGAGCATGGTTACGTGAAGTGAATTTAAGTAAATCGATTGAATCGTGTTCACTCGACACTTGCCACAGATTCAACGAACGGGCTGTGCAGCAGTCAATTGTCGACTTTCCATTGCAGCGTCTAATTAATGTCACCACAAAGATCACGAAGTCTACCTGGCTGGAACTGACTAGCTTGAAAATGAAAATTCATTCCAAATAATTCAAAGTTCGCATTTCGTGGAATCTCACGTTAAAAGAATAGATTTCTTTTCACGTTATTCAATAAAAACCAAGTCTCAGAAGAATTTAAAGGTTGTATTGCGTTTGAGCGGCACTTATTTGCTGTGATTTCGCTAACAACAACCTGGAGTCCCGTTAAAAATGGTTGGCACTGTTGATTTCTGATTGGCTGTCGCATTCACTGCTAGCCAATCAGGAAGCTGCCGATGTGGGGGTTGACCACTGCCCCAAGGTCAATAAAAATTTCGTTCTCTGGTGACCTTGCTAACCACTTACTCTACTATTCATGGTGGTTAACGAGTTGATAGTTTGCGTTTGTTGCTTCTTATAACCTTCCAACTACATCGAATTCTGTAAGGTGGGTTTGAATACTGTCGATGTCCGTGGAGGCACATGGACAAATCCCCTTTAAAGGCAGACTTTTTGCCGATCTACACAGACGACGCAGTCGAGAGGAGATCCACACTAACCGCCTTTTGAAGAAAGAGATGCTTGCGCCGAAAAACCAGACATTCTCGCACCACTTTTTGAGGGAATACATTTCTTATCTTTGTGCAAACTCTGGTGGCAGAAAATTGGCTTAACAAGGCCTCTTTAGTCATTGTATTTGTGTTTGCTTGTTTTACAAAACGTTCATCTCGGTTTGGACAAAAAGACTGCGAAAATTTGTCAATTTCGTAGCTACGGTCAAATGCAGGGTGAATCAGCTCAACGGTTGCCATGTCAGCAGTTTGTCCTGCTTGTTTGCCACTTCCATTAATAATTGGTGGAGCGTTTGCCATAGTCGATCGTCAGTTGAAACTAAACTTGTAGCCTCGAGGTTCAGCCTGTCTAAAACACGGCTCTTCTATTCTCAGTGGGTGTGTACCGTTCGGTGTGAAGTCATGTGTGCATGCGCTGATTTAGCTTCTGTTCTGTCAAGACATGTGGAACCCAACGTCCCGGTAATTGAATTTTTCCCATTTGGTGGTGCAGGTGCCTGAAAATAGCTGCTGCAAACTCTTTATGCATTTGCGTTGAGTCTTCATCCAGTAGGGCTTGCAATGCCTCACCTTCAAACCTTCGAGGCTGTCAGAGGCGCAGCTAGTCGCTAAGGTTGAAATCACCACTTCTAGAAGTATATCTGTGAGCGTTTTGAGGTGTTTCTAGAGTAAGACGTGCTGTTACATTGACAGGAACAAATGGTAGTGGTAGTAGTCTGATGAGCAACCTGCCTGTGGGAAAACTCCCCATCCCAAGTTCAGAGGGTCTTGTGGGTCGCGCGAGCAATGTGATATGGTCGAGCGTTGTCATGCTTCCTTGCCGAGTAAATGGCCTTTTTAGATCAGTTTATTTGACTGTTGACTGCAGCGTTCCGTAGTCATCGTCAAACCACTTTCCAGGAATTAACAATAAAGTAGACCCTTCATGTGCCACCAGATTCACAGAAGAGCCTTCTTCAAGTGGGTGTCCCCTTTCGGCGTCGATGTACTGGGTTGTCTAGGATATAACCAAGATATTTACATTCGGGATTCGCGTAAGATATACTCTTCATCATTCGTCGCAATGTTTCACAAGCAGTCCACTCACCGCCTGTTGCCGGTGGGCAAGCAGCGAAGGGCATGTATTCACACATTAACCCAGCTTGTGTTCGGTTAGCACACGTGGGACCCAACTTCCACGTTTTTAAATTCTTCCCATTTGGTTCCAACGCTCGGAAATAGCAGTTTTGGTGACCCCTAACTGTGCTGCAAGCTCTAGTTGCGTTTAGTTCTCATCCAGTAGGGCTTGCAATGCCTCACCTTCAAACCTTCGAGGCTGTCAGAGGCGCAGCTGGTCACTGGGATTGAAATCACCACTTTTAGAACGCTTGTACCGATAATTACACGTTTCATAAGACACAACGTCGGCACCAAGAACGCTACAAATTGATTCCCCGGTGTTTTAGCAACATTCCGCCATTGTTGGAATACGTATGAAACGCAGTGCCATCGAATGTGCTATTTGTCAGTTGCCATCTGAAAGATTATGTAACTCGCGCAGACTTGTCGTTCGGTGTTCTGAGACCTTACGTTGGATCCTTATAATGCCACACAAAATCACGAAAAGTTTTCTGTTTTAAACATAAATTCGTGGCGTCGAAGAAAAAAATTAGGAAATAAAACGAGTGAATCTGGAAAACGTCGTTAGTCTTCGCGTGTCGTTTGGGTTTTTGCAATCGTTCAGCATTCATACCCTCAAAACCGAAAACGAAGGGGCTTGTTGAATATTTTCGGTCACCACTAAATACCAATAATGCTTTTTGTCGCCTTCGCATGGTGCTCACTTGGTTCCCAAAACCTTCAAGCGTTCTAGAATATCCCTGATTGGTTAACTGCGAGCACAACTCACAAGTGTAACATATTTGACTTTGTAAAACGCATCGACTGATAGTCCCTTCAGTT